GACTGCTGCAGGGGCGTGTCTTAGAGAGAGGCTTTTATACCAGAACACAGCCGCTGTGACGAAAACGTAGAGAAGACATGTCACCGTGGAGAGCCGTTAACTAATATGCAAATTATCCTGCAGTACCACTGCTCTACCCATATGAGCAGCAAAAACACGTTTGTAGACCAAATATTACAGATTTGAACAAATACGCACAAAAACATCAAAATTTGCACAGAAACAGTACTATATAACATTTTAGACACATTCTAGACAGTTTATCAACTAAAAAAAAGTTAATTTTGGGGTAAGTTACTCTTTAAACTACAATGGAAATAGAAGCTTTGGAGATAACAGTTCACATTCTGATGTTGGGTCAACCTACTCTTTCCACTGATACAGATCTGCAGCTACTCAAACAGATGTGTGGAAASTGTTTCTAACAAGCACTATGTTGATAAAACTTCCACTAACAATGCTAGGGCAGAAATATTCTCTCTTTTCTCACTACGGCAAATGTTTGTATTAAATTTCCTTTGTGACATTTTGATATGATTCATTTATCTTTCTTTCACTTTACATTTTTGTCACAACTAAAGCCTTTCAGCTGTTATAAAATGATCAATGATACAAAAGTTGATCACTTCCCAGTAATTGAGTGAACTCTGTAACCCTGACTGGAAACAAAAAGAATCCATTATACCACACGTGTACATAAAGGTTGAAGTTATGTGTTGAGATTTTTGTGTTGTATAACCAGCTTCTTGTGTGCCCTGAGAGGTGAAAAGGCTCAATGTATATTCCCACATAAACCACATTTAGGCATCTATGACGCCATGACAAATGTTTTTGCTGTGAAACACCACGGTGAACTTTTGTGGTTCAGGTGGTTTGTATATGTGCACCAAAGAAACACCCAACGTGTAAAGAAGGTACACATTTCAATCTGAGCTTGAATACTCTCTCACACTGTGAGTTAGCATTAATAAAATACTCAATATGTCTCTCATATGGAATCTGCTTTACTTAAGTTATTGGTGTAGATTCTGCACACAAACTATTAGCTGAGTTTGTGTGTAAACTTTAAGAGTCGTCTGTATCCTCCCATCTCTCCATGACCTGTACGTCTCCAGGACTGTGGGGCAGGATGTCGGACCACAGCTGACCCTTCTCACCCTGCACACGGTCTAGTCCACTCCCCTCGGGCAGGAGGCGTCGGTCCATTCGGAYCAGAACCTCCTGCCATAAGAACAGTCTCTTCCCCTCTGCCGTTGGGCTCTTGAACAATTATAATCATGCCTCTTTCTAACTCTGCCTGGTCCATTTATCACTGTAGTTTAATCGCACTACTCCGATTGCACTGTATCGTATCGTATCTGTGTACATATTCATGTTTGTATTATATTTTATATTTTATTTGCACCTTCATGCTGAAGCAAAAATCCTATTCTGTGAATCCTGTTCATTGACAATGGCAATAATGAAACTGATTCTGATCCTAAGAGTTGTTGATATCCTGTGCGTGTGTGTGCCCTTGTTTTTCCCACATCGTGGGTACAATTTTCCTGAAGAAGCAGTCTTGTGGGGACCAAAGTGCATCGTGGGGACCAATGCCCGGTCCCCACGGGTCCAAATGCAAATTACAGGTGGGGAGTTAGGTTTAGGACCAAGGTGTGAATTGAGTTAAGGTTAGTTTTAGGGTCAGGCAGGTACCTGCGAGGTTAATTTTATGGTAAATAATCAGGGTTAGGCTATAAAATTTCCAAAAAGTGAATGGAAGTCAATGTACAGTCCCCATGGGGATATACAAACCATGGGTCGGATTTATAAAGCTTCCGTATGCACAAAACGAGCCCAGAGACTTGCATATGCCACTTTTCACACCAAGGTTGTGATTTATAAAATCCAAACTTGACGTGAAAATGTGCGGTGCCTCACGCCAGCTTTGACCCATGCGTACGCTCATTTTGGAGACGTGAACCTGCGACACAGATGGTGAAATGAGGAATTATAACCACACTGTGTAATGATCACTGTCAGATATTTAATTTCTCTTCATAATCAGACTTAGATTTTTATTTATGTAGCTTTCTTAACAGTATTATTTATGCTTCTGCTGCTGAGCCATAAGGACCTTTGAAATAAAAAATTTAAATCTTAAATAAAAGTTCACACATCTCCATCTCCTTTCTCCTCATGACCCTGACCCACAGACTCCTCCCTGATAAGAGACATGTCAACAGCACAACAGCAAAAGTCACGCTTTGGGTACTCGCAGGGCACGCCCAACCTCGCCAGTGTGGATGTTATAAAACTTCACTTTTAAAGGGGTATGGATATATATAGATATATATGTGTGTGTGTGTGTGTGTGTGTGTGTGTGTGTGGGGTGGTGGTGGTGGGGTGGGTCTGCTGCAGATAACAGAGCAGGGAGGAGGGGGAGAAGAGCAGTGGACTTATTTCTAACATTATCTGACTTATTTAATTTTATTTATTGTTTTTATCGTCCTGCAGGCTCTGGGAGAAAATTAATTTGAAGCTGAGTTTTTTTTTTATAAAAATCGTTAGATTACTCTAAAGCAAAATGAGGGACAATCTGTGTAAATTACAGACATTCTGTTCACGAGAGCAGCTGTCAGTCAGCACCTGCCAACCTCCAGACACACGACGGAGCGTGTCTGAACCAATCACTTTTGTTGACATTGACCAGCTGATTGATTTAAATAAGCTTAACATTCATGAGGTACTTTACATTGACTGTTTATGGTTGAATGTGG